GAAGGAACCACTGAAGGCACCGCCCCAGAGCTTGGACAGAGCATTGCCCTGGCAGAAGGGCAGGGAAATTGTCTTGGCCATGAGCAGCAGAATGGCCAGAAAGCCCCTGGTGCAGAAGTTGCCCACCCCAGCAGGTTGAAGGCAGGTTTGGGTTGCATTCCTGCTGTCCTGGCAGTGAAATTCTGCGCAGAGGGCACAGAGGTGTCTTCTCCACGGGGCTCACAGGTGACACCGAGATGCTGTGGGGGATCTGAGCCCTGCCTGAGGGCAGACTCAGCCCAGCAGGAGCTCCAGGCTGGCACCACGCTGGTGTCCGCAGTTGGCTCAGGGGCGCCGCGTGCCATGAGTGGGGAACAGCTTCCCGTGAAACAGGGAGAGCTGAATCTTGGAGCCACCTGCTCCACAGCTGGAATCAGCGTCTGGGAGCAGACTAAAGAGGAGAGGGAGGCCTTTGGTGTGAGATTCTGAGGAAGCTTTTTTCATCAGAGGGAACAGGCACCAAAGAGCTTCAAGCACCAGTCTGCTCAGGATTTTATACGGCACTAGAACTGTGGATGGGCACGATCACTGAGCCAATAGGGAATCAGGGAGGGAGGAGCAAAAGGAGGGGAATTCATCTCAGGGACCAATGGGATAAGGGGGTGGAGATGGCAGGTCACATGGGCCAATGGGGCATCATCCATGAGGGGAATTCCCGAGGGGCGGAACCTGTAGGGGAGGGGTTTACAGGAGACTGATAGGGAAGGGTCCAGAACAGGGGCAGAGTTTACAGGGATGGGTAGGGAAGGCCCTGGAATACAGGGTGGGGATTATAATGATTGAAGGGTAAAAGGGGAGGGATATAACCTGGGAATAATAGAGTTTGGGGAAAGACAACATGCAGGGGGTTGACTTGGACCGGCCCTTCCAAAAGGTTTTCAATTAAAGGGGCCTTGCACCGGGGCCGGTTAAGGGGGGCTGCGGGCCCGTTTTTTTGTTGCAAAAGGAAGGGTTCATTCTTTTGTTTTTTTTTTAGGTTTTTTTCTTAGGCTTTTTTTTGGGTTTTTTAAGAACATCCCCTGTCTATCTCCAATTGGTCAGTAACAAGTTGTTACCCTGTATTGATTGGTCACTCAAACCCCTGGTGTGTACATGCAGGAAAAGTTGTTTGTGAGAGATAGTTTTCATTTTGCTATCTAAGAGTGAAAAAACAATTTATACAGGTGGCTAGTGTTTAACACAGTCTTACAGCTCTTTTTCAGGGAAAGTAGGTTGTTTTCCACAGTCCTAGAGCTCTTTCTCAGGGAAAACAAGTTGTTTTTCACTGCTCCAGAACTCTGTTCTCACAAAGAGTTGTCAGCTTTCTCATGGCTTCGGTCGGCTCGGGTCAGGATTCGGTTTGTCAGCATTTGGCTGCTGGTTCAACACCACAGAAAACATCATTATTATATAAACATATCCCAAAAAAAAAAAAAAAGCAGCTTAGACGCAACTCACTGCCTTCTTGAAAGTGAAAAGAGATGCAGGTGCCTGGAGGCCCAGGAGAGAAATGGCAGTGTTGAAAATGTGAGAAGCAAATTTTATCCATAGAGACAGTGCCTGACCTCAAGGAAGACCTTTCCTACCAGTCAAGACTTCCTTAGNGGTGCAGGGAGGAGTCCCGGCAGGGATAAAGGTGCTCCTCACCTGCTGCAGCCTCAGGCAGCGCTGCCCAGAGCGAGAGGAAGATGAAGGTGGCTGTGCTCAGCGTGGCCCTGCTCTTCTCCATCCTGCTGTGCCCCCCGGCACAGGCCAAGGTGAGGCACCAGCCAAATGCTGTCCCCACATCCTGCCCTTTCTGGCCTCCCATCTCACCCTTTTGGTCCCTCTTCTGTGTCCCATTCAGAGTCCCCAGGTGTCCTCCCACTCACCATTCCTGAGGCCTTTCCTTCCATGTCCCCCTTCAATCCTTTGTCTTTCTTCCTGGCCACTGCAGAGGGGTTCCCCTGTACAATTCCCTGACTCACCCCCACTCCCACACCATCTCCCAGTCCCAGACAAAACAGTGGTTTTGTCCCCACCTGTCGTCATTCTTCCGTCCCCACCAAGCCCCTCCCTTGCACTCCCATGTCCCTACACCTCAATTCCTTTCTCCTCCCCTGTACCTCACACGCTCCTGTTCCACACCTCCAGCCCTGTCCCCATGACTCTCAATTGACCCCAGATCAGTGTCTTTGGGTCTCCCCCCACCTCAAACAGATCTCCTTGGAGGCCCTGAATTCCCATCCCTCTGCCTGCACCCTGCTCCCTGCACCCATGTGTCACCCCAGCCCCACAAGGTCCAGTCCTGACCCAGCCTTTGTTCTCCTTTCCAGGCACTCCTGGAAGGAACCCAAGATGATCTGCGGGAGGTGAGTGGGCTGCTGGCATTGGAGGGCATCCCCTCAGGGAATTGGGGGGCAGTGGTGTCCCCCCATCCCTTCCTGGCACCGGGGACATCCCAGTGACCAGCGAGGTCTCTTGGTCTCTCTGCAGTTGGATTTAGACAATGTCGCGGTCCTGGAGACGCCTCTGGTGGGTACCACGAGTTCTGCCGGTGCCAGACCCTCCC